TGTTGGAGAGGCAGAGGAGGATCTAGTTGATGTTCTTCTCAGAATTCAAATGGATGATGACTTGGAGATCCCCTTATCTATCTCTAGACAACATTAAAGCTGTTCTTAAAGTTAGTCTTTTATTATATTAAATGTTGCTCTTTTTTTTTTTTTGGTGAGCAATATTAAATGCTACATAGTTTGTAATTTGATACACAAAATATAACGCACATATGCACACATACATTCCTCAAATCAATTGTGTGAATTCCTTCCTTTTCAGGGTGTTTTCTTTGCTGGAACTGAAACAGAGGCAACTACAACAGATTGGGCAATGTCAGAATTGCTCAAAAACCCGAAGGCTATGAAAGAGGCACAAGAAGAGGTATAACTAAAACTAGAGTTTTGAATGTTTTGTATAATAATTTTGTGGGTTGTGTTATTTATTTATATTAATTTATAAATATTATTGAGCTGACTTAAACATGAGAGTTATTATTGGCTTTGTAATAGGTAAGAAGAGTCTATGGAGACAAAGAATATGTAGAGGAATCAGAACTACACCAATTAAAATATGTGAGTGCTGTCGTCAAAGAAACCTTAAGGCTCCATTTACCAGTGGCATTGTTGGTTCCAAGAGAGAATAGTAAGAGTTGTGAAATCAATGGATATGTGATACCTCCTAAGACAAAAATTATCATTAACGGTTGGGCCGTTGCAAGAGATCCCCAGAATTGGAATGATCCAGAGATGTTTGAACCAATGAGATTTCTTGATACAATGGTTGATTACAACTTCAAAGGTTCACATTTTGAGTATATTCCATTTGGTGCTGGAAGAAGATGTCATGAATCTAACAAATATTGGTGGGACCCAAGGAAGACACATGGCTTGTGATCGCTTTATAAGTGTGGTGCCTCTGCATGATGCCGTTATAGATAACCGAATGAGAAAGGAATCCCAACAACGTGAAACTGAGGCTATATATCAAGGGAGGTTGTTAGTGAAAAGTGTGTGGATTATGTGGTGATTCTGTTCTGACACTCTCCCCAGTATTTCTCCTTCCCTCTGATTCTTTGCTATCCTTCCTGGTGATTTCCTTCCTTTACGCACTTTCTGTATTTTTGTGACTGGACGTTCATGTATTTCTGGATATTTCCCGTTGCTTTCATCATAGATATATAAATAATATTCAGATTTCAGTGCAAATTTACTGTGTTGATTGTTACTTGTTTTGAGATCATGACAGAAGAATCTGTCCAGCGCCCACATTTGTTACGCCTGTTTTTGAGTTATTACTTTCCAATTTACTTTATCATTTTGATTGGAAGCTACCAAAGGGGATGAGGCTTGAGGAATTGGACATGGATGAGTCATTTGGTGCTGTGATAAGAAGGAAAAGTAATCTGAATTTAGTTCCTATTCGCTATTACCCTTGAGTTTACGTGTTTGTTACTTGAATGATAGTTGGAAGTTTCAGATATCATTGATCTATGTTGTGGGAGCGAGGAATGAATAAAAAATCGTTTTGATTTGAACATTTATTTTGTGAAAAAGTATCAATTAAGTGCTTTTTTTCATCATTTATTCGTAAAAGAGAGAAGTACAATAAATCTTAAAAGACTCTCATTTATTTCTCATAAAAATCTCTCCTTCTGAGAGAGTATAATAGTGGCTTGTCAATTTTGTATTTTCGCATCGAATTTAACTCATAATTTCTAAGACAAGAATTTCCACTACAAACCAATATGAGTTAGACTATATGTTCTTTATCCCCAAAAGAATAAATAGGACTGGAAGGATATATATCTAGCATCATGATGACTTGACTCTTTTTAATTGAATCAATCGACTCTCTTTTATGGATGACAAATTCTGATCCTTATTCGTGTCTATTTTAATTGGATGACGCACTCGACTATTAATAATTTCATTATTAAACAGACAAGTCGTTTGAGGAATTAATTAAGAATGGTAAAATGAAACAGGTGCCACATGCTTGCGGGGCTAAAGTGTCTGAAAGTAGCTTCCGTGCTTAATATAATAATTAGATAACTAATTTGAGCATATTAAAAAATTAGTTAAATTGATTATTTGTAATAAATGTATTTTGACTTTTCTAACTTATTATCTTTAATCATGTGTATTGGGACTACTCCTTGGTTGAAGCTTTTTACATTCAATAAAGATATGTTGAAAAAAATATAAATTTAAAAGATAAAATGGAATGAAATCTTATATTTACGACCAAATTTAATCCCCACCTAGCTTTTATATTAAGGATTGGAGATAATATTTTAATTAATGAATCTGTCTGAAATATGTAGTTATAAACCTATTTTCTTCTATAACATCTTGTGAGTAATAGTAGTTATCCAAAACTGTATATTAATTCATTGGAGTAATATATTGTTTTTCAAATGTTAGAATCGTCTCAATGTTAGTCTTTGACTAATAGATATTGATGTTCGTTGCTTACGTATTATTGATTTTGTATGAAAAAGTTTATCTTATCCCTAAAGTATTTAAATCAATAATTGGTATTTTTTTTTTTACCGAAACTTATCCCTAAAGTATTTATATGAATAATTAATACTATAACTAAACTAGTTAAGATAGACACATGTATAGCACGTAACAACGACATTAATATAATTCATGGTTAGCGTGAGTTAGCAATTCTTTTTCTTTTTCTTACGAACGAAGCATTTGTTGACAAACCAAATGAAATTCATTTTTTATATTTTTTAACTAAAACATGTGCATCACGTGCTAACGTTGGGTATTAGTGAAAGCTGACAGATCTCCTTATGACAAATGAGTTCCTAATTAATAAGTCAAGATAAATATATATATATATATATATGAATATGTGTGTGTGTGTGTGTGTATAACTTGTGACAATATTTCTAATTGATCGTTCATCTAGATTAATAGATTTTTTTATTATTAATGAATGCCTGATTGGCAAAACATGTGGCAGCTTAAATACGAAGCCACACATGTTTTGATTTTAAAAAATAGAGATACCATCTACATTATTAAACTTTTGTATGTGAGTTACGCTTTTATGATTTTATTTTCTACCTATAACTATCCTTCTATTAGTATAATCATATTAAAGGTATTGCACTAAATGTAAGCACCTTTTCAAGAATTCGAACATACTCTTTCATGAATATTTTAAGAGCAAATTAAAATGGTCTTTAACTCAAAGTTAATTCAGAGTTAATGATCGACGTCAATATTTTTGACCAAAAAAAAAAAATGATCGACGTCAATATTCGTTGGTCAAAAAACACAATCCGAACGATTTTGATATTCGAGAGGTGATATTGCTATAATAAATACTTTAAAATAACCAGTGCTTCTCATAATACATTCTATAGTTCAAGGACAAAAACCTTTAACTTGAATTTTTATTTATATTTGGCTAAAGGATACATTTGTTCCTATAATTTTGTACAAGGTTTCAGTTTGGTCCCTTAACTTTAAAAAGTATACTTTTAGTTCTTTGACTTCAATTTTTTTTTTAAAAAAATGATGAAATTAATATATTAAATGTTGATAAAATATTCTCAAATGTTAACATATTAAGTTTAATTTTCAAAATATTCATGATTATTACAAAAAAATATCATTGAAGCCTAATGATTTTAGAGTTAAAAGACCAAATATAAGCTTTTAATTTTAAAGTTAAAGGACCAAATTGAAACCTTGTATAAAGTTAAAAGACTAAATATATACTTTAGTCTTTATATTTAAAAGGGACCTGCGTAATCACCAATGTCTACAATTACTTTGAACTTGTGGTTTATAATTTAGAAGCCACATAAAACGACAGATCAATTAATTTAAGCATTTTGATATAATTTTTTCACAGCCCGTGACAGCTTTTGATTACACTTACTATGGCAGCCACATTATTGACTAAGTGAGTGTTCGGTTTGGACAAAAAGCATTTAAAAAAAAAGCTTTTATAAAAGTCGAGATAAAATTTTTCTTACATATTTATACTACAAAAATCTGGACTTTCAGCAACCACTTTCAATGGTGACAAAGGAAGTCATCACTGAAAATATGACTTTCAGCGGCAACAATTCTTGTTGCCGCTGAAAGTTGGGCCTTTCTGCCGCGACAAGTGTGTCGCCGCCAAAAGTGATAGTTATGGCGGCGACTTATTATTGTCGCTGCTGTAGCTGCAACTTTCAGCCATGGTCACTACGGCAACGACTTGGTGGCGACAAAATGTCACCGTTGAAGCTTTTCAGCGGCGACTTTTCGGCTTTCAGCGGCGATATTTGTCACCGCTGAAAGTCAAATTTTTTATAGTGAATTAATTATTTTGTATGCCATAAAATTATTTTTAAAACTGTGGTTTGATTTTCATCTAACACCCCATAAGTAATGAATAAGATAATTTAAAATTATCAACAAACTTTGTTTAAACTGCAGCTAGTCAATGGCGTGAAATTTGCGTCAAAACAAACATAAAGGAAAGAATCATAAAGTTGATCTTTATTTTACTTACAAATCACAATGCACGCTAACCGTAAAAGGATATAAAGACATTTGTGGAATTTCACATCGAAAAAATGGTATAATATAAAGTTATAGGTAAACCTTGCTGTAAAGCAAGCTATCAGTAACGTGAGATGTACGTTAAAACGAAAAAAAAATAAAGGATAAATCATAAAATCTTACTATCTTCTTCAATCCTTAATATAAAATTTATTTGACTAATTTGAAAAAAATAAAAAATTTAAAAAAAATTACTTAATTGCTACCATATGTTAATATTTATAAGCTTAACAAATTAGTTTGAAAAAAATAAATATAATATTTTAAAGTAATTTATTTGATTTTTTTAATTTTTTAAAATTAATAAACTGGGTTTTATTTAAGATTGAAAGTAGTATAAATTATGACGAAGGAGGGGGGGAAAGGTGTTTTGTTATATAAAAGGCATTATTTCACAATGCAAAACCTAACACTTAGCTTTAATTAACAATTCTTTCAATATGGAGATACAGATCCCATATTCCATCATCTTCACCTTCTTTTGCTTCTTCTTTCTGATCTGCAAGCTGTCTTCTTCTTCCAAGAAACTGACCAAAACCCTACTTCCAGGGCCATGGAAATTACCTCTCATCGGAAACCTCCACCAACTTGCTAGCTCACTACCTCATCGTTCTCTCACAAATCTTGCAAACAAGTACGGGCCCTTCATGCATCTTCAACTTGGACAGGTTTCTCATATCATAGTGTCTTCACCAGAATATGCCAAAGAAATAATGAAGACACATGATCAGATCTTTGCAAATAGGCCCAAAAATCTTGCCACTGATATCTTTGCTTACAATAGCACAGATATTGCCGTTTCCCCCTATGGAAACTACTGGAGGCAACTTCGAAAGATTTGTGTTTTGGAACTTTTCTCATCAAAGAGGGTTCAAGCTTTTAGAAGAATAAGGGAAGAAGAGGCATCGACGCTGGTGAGGAACATCTCTGAACATGAAGGTTCTGTCATGAACCTCAGTAAAAAAATTGGAACTCACGAATTATATAGTGGCAAGAGTGGCCCTTGGCAAAAAGACAAAGAATGTAGAACATGTCTTGCAAAATTTAGAGCAGGTGACAAAGTTAAGCTCTGCATTATCAATTTTCGATTTCTATCCTTCGCTGAAATTTATCAGTGTCATCACTGGGACGAGAGCTCGAATGATGAAGTTGCACAAAGATGGAGATAAAGTGTTCGATGACATCATCGGAGACCACGAAGAAAAGGAAAAAAATAATGTTGGAGAAGCAGAGCAGGATCTAGTTGATGTTCTCCTGAGGATTCAAAAGGATAATGACTTTGAGATACCGTTATCTCTTGAAAACATTAAAGCAGTTCTTAAGGTTAGTTTGTGAGCACTTTACCCATAAATGTTACTATTTCTAAAATAAAAACTAGTTAACTAATTTGAGTACATCAGAAAAACTAGTTGAGTTAATTATTTATAATAAATGTATGTTGTTTTTCCTAAATACCTTTACTAATCATGTGTCATTTGATGAAACATATAGTATTTGTAACTATTACAAGGATTAACTTGAGAAAAATATATAAACATGAGAGATAAAGTAAATTGTGATCTTATTTAGGACCAAATTAAAAGTCAAACCAACTTTTATATTAAAGACCGGAGGAAGTATACAATTTGTAATCTGATACCCAAAACTCTAATCAATTGTTTGAATTCCCTCTTTAGGATGTTTTTTTCGCTGGAACCGAAACAACAGCAACTACAATAAACTGGACCATGTCCGAATTGCTCAGAGACCCAGAGGCTATGAAAGAGGCACAAACGGAGGTATAGGCACAACAAGAACTTTGAAAGTGTATCACAATTTTGCAAGTTGCGTATGTGCGTGTATGAATAGGGCTTGATGACTCTTATTATAACTCATCATTTAGGGCTGTTCTTCTTAGATTTTTTTTTCCAAAAAAAATCATTGATATTTTCTGCGGGGAACGGTATTGGGAAATTTGATTTTTTTTTAATTTTAAAATTAGCTAGAATTAAAAAAATAAATCATTATACATGATTATAGCCAAAACCTAAATAATGTCAATTTTTCAACAAAATCTCAAAATAGATTGAAAATAAATTTTTTAAATCCAAAAAATGGACTATTATTTTTTTTTTACTGATATTGATTATAAATTTGAATTTACTGAGTCGAGTTGCATCTAGTAATTATTAGTGCCTTTGCATGTTAGGTAAGAATAGTCTATGGAAGCAAAGGATACGTGGATGAATCAGAACTTCACCAATTAAAATATTTAAGTGCTGTCATCAAAGAAACTCTAAGGCTACATCCACCAGTAGTATTGATTCCAAGAGAGAACAGTGAAAGTTGTGAAATTAATGGATACGTGATATCTCCGAAAACAAAGATTATCATTAATAGTTGGGCTATTGGAAGAGATCCCAAGATTTGGAACGAACCAGAGAGATTTGAACCAAAGAGGTTTTTCCAAACAATGGATGATTACAACTTCAAAAGTTCAAACTTTGAGTACATTCCATTTGGTGGTGGAAGAAGAATATGCCCAGGAATTACATTTGCTACATCCATTTTGGAATTGTTACTTTCTAATTTGCTATACCACTTTGATTGGAAACTTCCAAAGGAGATGAAAGCTGAGGGATTGGATATGGATGAGTCATTTGGTGCTGTGGTAGCAAGGAAAAAGGATTTAAGTGTAATTCCTTTTCGATATTCTCCTTAATATGTATAGGTTATATATATGTGTTTAATTATTATCTGAATGAATGGTGTTTTCAATACTTTTAAATGTCCTTGAATCTATGCTGTGGATGCTAGAAATGAATAATAAAATAATATCATTTTGAATTGAACATTTATTAGTCAAAGGTTACAATTCATGTGATCTGCAATCATATACATTAAAAACTGCAGGACAAGAGATAAAAAGCCGGTAGAGTACTTGTTTTTATTATTAAACGGTCTCCACGTCCTTCCAATACTACTTTTCATTAAATTGATTGAACAAAAAAAATAATTAGAACTTAAACAAACAGTTTCTCAAAACCCCAACTCTGATGTTATAAGAAGTTATCAGTCTCTTCATGAGTTAAATAATTTGTCGCGAGAAGCAAAATTAGTGTTTTAGAATAATACAAAGTACACAAGCAACGTTTGCAAAGAAAGTACTCAAATTTTATAGATAGAAACATAAAAAATAATAATGTATATAGGGAGTCTTCATATTAAGAAAGCCAAAACAAGAACTTAATTAGAAGAATCCGATTCATGAGGAATGACTTGTTTTTGTTTTTTGAGGAAATTAATGTGGTAGGATGATTAAAGAACACAATTATGATCGACTTAACTATGGTTCTCCATTCTCTAACCTCTGTTTTTTATTTTCATGGATTGAATCATCTTCTTGGTTTATTTTCCCTTAGGAACACGACATACTCATCATATAGGATAGAAAAAGCCCACCATCATAACTTAACTAGTACAAAACCATTTTTTTTGTTGTTTTTTTTTCCAAGTACAAGTATTATCTTATTGAAAATGATGTCATGTACTAAATACAGATATTTCTCTTAACAGAAATTTAAATTTTAGTTAGTTATATTTGTGAAAAGCTAGTCCTTTCCGTTATATTCAACTACTGATCAGTTTGCCCTTTTTTGTTTTTTTTTTTCCCGTGTCCATCAGTATGTTCCAATTTGTCTTTGGTATATTCTATGTGTGGCGGGTTCTGTGCATCATTGCTCGAATGTGTCTGGTCTTTTAGTCTAATTTGAATTTCTTTACGTAGTCATTTTATCTTTTAATAATGTTAATTTTTATATTAAAAGAATATTTTTTTTAAAAATTCCATTGATGCTAATAATGCGGACTTTTCTTTTGCTTGGTCACATGAAAATGGCATCTCTGGGTTCCACAATTTTCCCCTTTTTATATTCGAAACAGCAGGCTGGTTTTGGGACTTGGGAGTGCATTATTGCATACTCCTCAATATGTGACCCATTCAGATTAATCTTGAATCATCAAGATTTATACTAGTTTGCTTGGATTAATGGTTGTTAGGTGAATTTTATTTCAACAGACTTTTTAATAAATTGAGTTAAGATAAAACTAAATTAGCATAATGGATAATTGTTTATAAAAAAAGTTTGTTTTTAATAGATAATAATTTTAAATAAGGAATTTTATAATTATCACTTTTAAGAAATAAATTTATTATTAAAAATTTACATATTAAAAATATTTAATCTGGACCATCAATCATATTTTGGACAACAATGATAAAACTTCCATCACCCCGCTTAGAGGGTGTTTAAGATACCTAAAATCACTTAAAAATAGTATTTTTATGTAAGTTGAGACAAAACTCAATCCTCTTACATATGTATTTCGTATGTTATAGAATTATTTTTAAAATTATGGTTTGGTTTCTACTAAAATACTTTCTTAATGAGAATTGGACACGTCTACACAAATGCAATTAATTAATGGAATTTTGTCTTTGCATCAAAGCTATAGTTTCTAACACATGAATTTCAACCACAAACCTAATCACAGCACACAATGATGTGGACATTTGTGGAATTGTACATTGTGAATATGACATAACATATATAAATATAAAAAAAAATCTTTTTCTTTAGTAGCTAGCCTCAGAAAGTCAATGGCAATAAATATGCAATAAAATTAAAACAAAAATAAAGAAATCACGCCTCAATTATTGAATACAGAAGGCATGACTTGACAACCCAAAACCTGGCTCTTATTGGCTTTATCATTCCTTCAGCTTTAATACATATGCAACCATGGAAATATATACATATCTCATATTCCATCATCTTGCCCTTCTTCTGCTTCTTCTTTCCGCTCTGCAACCTATCTTCTCCCAAGAAACCCACCAAAACTCTACCTATAGGGCCATGGAAGTTACTTCTTATCGGAAACCTACACCATCTTGCTGGCTTACCACCTCATAAAGTTGTTCTATATCTTAATTACAAATTACATTTCGCACCAATAATAAAAGGATATAACGACATTTGTGGAATTTTACATTGTAAAAATAATATAAAATTATAGGTAAACCTTGCCGAAAAGCAACTTATTAACGGCGTGAGATTTACGTTAAAAAAAAAAGGGGATAAATCATAAAGTCTATCTTCTTTATGTAAATACTGCCTGCTGTCCTTAATAGATAAAATATAGTTGACTAATTTAAAAAAATTAAAACAGTTCAAAAATTATTTAATTATATCATATGTTATATGGTCTGTCTAAAATAGTTATATGTATGATTAGATTATATAGCAATTTATAAATTAAACAAATTAGTTTGAAGAAAAACAACAAACATAATACTTTAGAGTTTTTATAAGCCGAGTAAATTAGTTTGAAAAAAATAATAAATATAGTATTTTAAAGTAATTTATTTAACTTTATTAATCTTTTCAAATTAGTAAACTGTACCTTATATTAAGAAAGCATAATACTTTAAATTTGTTATAAGTTGAGTAAATTAGTTTGGAGAAACACAAAAAAATATAATATTTTAAAGTAATTTATTTAACCTTTTTAATCTCTTGAAATTAGTAAATTAGACCTTATATGAAGAATGAGAGCTAGTATAAATTATGATGATCTGCATCAGCCCAAAAGGAGGGGGGAAGTATTTTCTCATATAAAAGGCATTATTTCACGAAACAAAACCTCAGCTCACACTTATCTTCAATTAAAATTCTTTCAATATGGAGATAAAGATCCTATATTCCATCATCTTCACCTTCTCCTGCTTCTTCTTTCTAATCTGGAAGCTATCTTCTTCCAAGAAACCCACCAAAACCCTACCTCCAGGGCCATGGAAATTACCTCTCATCGGAAACCTACACCAACTTACTGGCTCCCTACCTCATCGTTCTCTCACAAATCTTGCAAACAAGTACGGGCCCTTCATGCATCTTCAACTTGGACAGGTTTCTCATATCATAGTGTCTGCACCTGAATATGCCAAAGAAATATTGAAGACACATGATCGGGTCTTTGCAAATAGGCCAAAAAGTCTTGCCACTGACGTCTTTTCTTACAATAGAACAGATATTGTCTTCTCCCCATATGGAAATTATTGGAGGCAGCTTCGAAAGATTTGTCTGCTAGAGCTTTTCTCACCGAAGAGGGTTCATATTTTTAGAAGAATAAGAGAAGAGGAGGTATCGACACTTTTGAGGAACATCTCTGAACATGAAGGTTCTTCCATAAACCTTAGTAGAAATATCTTCGCACTCACAAATTCTATAGTGGCGAGAGCAGCCTTTGGCAAAAAGACAGATAATGTAGAACATATCCTACATAATCTGGAGCATGTGACAGAGCTATGTTCTGGCTTGTCAATTTCCGATTTTTATCCTTCGCTGAAATTTATTAGTGTTGTCACTGGGATGAGAGCTCGAATTATGAAAGTGCAGAAAGACGGTGATAGAGTGTTTGATGATGTCATCAGAGACCACATAGAAAAGAACAGGAACAATGATGGAGAGAACGAGGAGGATCTCGTTGATGTTCTTCTCAGGATTCAAAAGGACAATGACTTTGAGACCCCATTATCTTTCGAAAACGTTAAAGCAGTTCTTAAAGTTAGTTCGTGTGCACTTTTACCCCCATAGATATTATAAATTTTTAATCTGATGCACAAAACACACGCACGCACACATCTCTCTAATCAATTGTTTGATTTCCTTTTTCAGGATGTTTTATATGCTGGAACTGAAACAACAGCAACTACAACAAACTGGGCAATGTCAGAATTGCTCAAAAACCCAGAAGCTATGAAGGAGGCACAAATGGAGGTATATAGGCACAACAAAAACTTTGAAATAACTGTATTACAATTTAGTAAGTGTTGTTTGTTTGTGTATTAAATATGACTCTTACTATACCCCAGGTCATTTAAGGGTGCTCGTTTTAGATTATTTTTTTTTGAAGGGGAATTACAATTAAGTCTAAAAAAATTACTAAAAAGTTTGAATAATAGCCTAAGTAGCTTATAACAACAAGTTCTAAACTTCAAAGTAGAAAATGATAATTTCTGAGACTTGTTTTGTAATTTTTTTTCTTAAAACCTTATTGTAATTCTCCCATTTTTTAAAAAAATCATTGACTATGTGTGTATTAAATATGACTCTTACTACACCCCAAGTCATTTAGGGCTGCTTGTTTTAGATTTTTTTAAAAAAATCACTGACCAAACATTTAAGGGTTAAAAACACTTTTATTTGATTTGAATTTTGAAAATGAATCAGAATAAAAAAACAGTAAGTCATATAATGACCAAACAAAAAGTGACGTCAATTTTTCATAAAATCTAAAATAGGTTGAAAATCAATTATTTATTTTTAATCTCCAACAAAAAGGCCATTATTTGTTCGTTGAAATTGATTATAAAATTGAAATTATTGATTTGACTTATGTATGATAATTATTATTGGCTTTATATTAGGTAAGAAGAGTTTATGGAAGCAAAGGATATGTAGATGAATCAGAACTTCACCAATTAAAATATTTAGCTGCTGTCATCAAAGAAACTCTGAGGTTACATCCACCAGGAGTATTGTTGGTTCCAAGAGAGAACTATGAGAGTTGTGAAATTAATGGATATGTGATACCACCCAAGACAAAGATTATCGTTAATGCTTGGGCCATTGCAAGAGATCCCAAGAATTGGAATGATCCAGAGATGTTTGAACCAAGGAGGTTTCTTGATACAATGGTTGATTACAACTTCAAAGGTTCAAATTTTGAGTATATCCCGTTTGGTGCTGGAAGAAGAATATGTCCTGGAATTACATTTGCTATACCTGTTTTAGAGTTGTTGCTTTCCAATTTGCTTTACCATTTTAATTGGAAACTTCCAAACGGGATGAAGCCTGAGGAGTTAGACATGGATGAGTTATTTGGGGCCTCAGTAGGAAGGAAAAAGGATTTAATTGTAATTCCCATCGGCTATTCTCCTTAGTACTATATGTCCTTGTCACATGGTGTTAAAACTCAATTAAGTCGGTAGGGCACACCATTAAATGAATAAACTACTCTTTTGGACTTTTGGTTTTCTGATCATGAGCATTGGGTACAAGTTTATTGTGTTGGACTTTATTCTTCCCCCCCCCCCCTTACGTTGCTTAGTTTGAAATGATACCATGTTGAGTTAAAAAATAATAGCTCGTTAGATTTATATTTTAGTAATTCTATTTTATTAGATTTTTTTGTGATTTATACATAAATATTTCATTTATTTGTGGATTATGTTTTTCTTTAAATATTACTTTTTTAGAATTATATCTGTATAATTCTATAAGATTTAATTAAATTATATTATTTTAATGATAATTGGGTTTACCCTTGTTCAACAATGCGTTTGGACCGCTTACCCTTAAATTATGAGAGAAATTCTTGCATGCACTGGAAGTACCATGTAATTTGTGATCTGTCCAATTAAATGAAACCAACTCAGATAGATGCAGTCTTACCTGGCATTACTAGTGAGAGCAACAAAAGATTGTGGGTCCCACAAAAAAATTAATACTTAACAATTTCTCTCTCTTCCTCCCATTTTCACTTCCGACATTGCCCTTCTTTCTTTTCAGTCAAGCCGCCGAAAACCGTCCCAAAAAAACCTTCATCCATTAACCCCATTAGCTATAGGTCAATCCATGCTCCAAACTCATGGAGTCTGTCTCTCCATTTTTCTGGAGAAACATCATCAAAAGTGAACCATAGACCTATAGTAGGTTTGTAGTCTATCCTTCTTGGCACAGACGTATGAGGGACAGATGGTTCTTCATCAATAGGATCTTCAACTATAGGATCTGGTGGGACCATTGCTACCTTAGAGATATCAGCATGATATGTCTCAGAATCAGAGTTAGAACTGTATTCAATAGAGGAATCAGACTCAGCTTCAGAGGTTTCATCTATTGATGACTGGTTCTTATTCAAGGATTGGAAAGTAGCTATGGTTTTGTTTGGATCAACAACTTCTTTTCCTTTTTCTCTATCTATAAGAGAAGTTTGTTTTGGTGGAGATGATGGTGGAGTTCTTATTACAACTCCTTGAGAGGGTGGTGTTGGTTCAATAGGTTTAGTGTACGAGGATGATGGGTAGAAAAGTCTTTCAGATGAGGAGAAGTGAGGTGGTTGTACTGGAGGTCTAGGAGTAGGATTTGGTTGGACAGGTGAAAGAGTTGGTTGTCGAGATTTTCTCAACTGTCTTAAAATAGGATAAGACATTTTGAAAACCTTATTGTAATCATATTCTCTGGGGTAAGAAGGGGGTGATGTTGGATATGTAGGAGGTTGGAAACTAGAGGGGTAAGACGGATAAGGGTCATAGATGGTTTGTGAATGATCTTTAGCGATGTCTGACTCGATCCTTTGCAAATCCTTTCGGATTTGTGATAGTTCTTGTTCTTTCCTGGTAAATTCTGGTCCAATATATCCTTTTTCAATAAATCGCTTCAGATCTGCATCCAATTGGTAAGCCTGAGAAGATAGAGTCATATAGAGCTGTTTGACTTGATCAGAGACTTGGTCAAGCCTGCTTGTCAAAGTATCAATTCTAAGAGTCAGCAGGTCAAGCTTTGAATCAATCTTTGTCAAAGTTCTATTCTGGCCGATTGCATTCTGGGTTTGCCAGTTGAGAACTTCTTCTGCTGCTGAGACTGGTCTAGCTTCACCAGTGGCAGAGATTTCTGTTGGAATAGAGAAAAGTCTTGCTGTAATGTTTGTTTCCCTATTCGTTCTTCTTTTAAGGGGAGGAAAATCCTACTCATAAGAATCCATCATTGCTATACACGGGACGGATTGTTAGATGACAGGAATCACTGGATCTGGCCTCTGTTTAGGGAGGAGATTTTCATGACCTGTTTCTTTTAGCAAATCATACAGAGATAATTTGCTAGAAGGAATAGTAGGGACAGGAGCCTTCCAGCTTCTAGCTTTCTGTTTCGGACTATGATCATCATCATCATAGTGACGATGGTAATGTTTGTGGGAACAAGGAGATGTATTCTTCTCCTTTTTCTTCTTTTTGATGGCATATCTAATGGGGTAAGACCATCCAGCTTCATCTTCATCGTCAGAAGCCTCCCACCAATAAGGTGTATCACATTCACAGTCAGGGTCACATTCTTCTGGTGCATGATCCCAAATAAAGTGGCCATTTATGTGAGACACATAACATGGCTTGGCATTTTGGTCTACCCAAGCAATTAGAGGATCTCGCTTGAACGGAACATAGGCCGGGGTGATGGTTAGAATACGTCCAGAAGGTACAAAAGAACCTTCCCGGCCTGGCTTGGTAAACACTGTTTTAACTGTGCCATCTGGAAGCCTTTTTATCTCAGGAGGAGTAGAAGTATGGACATCCCTCTGAACACCATGAAAATGTTTTTCATAGTTGGTGATCCACTCAAGAGGCATCAACTGAGCAAGTTCCTCTTTTGGGATCTGTTGAGGAATCTGGATGATGGAGGTATCATCAACTCTATCAGAAACCACATAAAGAGCATCTTTGGTGGAATTTGGAAAATGAAGATCAAGAGCATGGTTTTGGAGTCTGTAGAGGACTTGATAATGAAGAGTTGCTGCGATAGCTCTAGGATCTTGCTCTGCTCCAACTATCTGGACTTGGATTTTTAGTCTGTCTGTCAAAGTTGGATCTGAAAGCTTGATGTTGAAATCTGGGGCCATAGTAAGGATGACACTACCGTTGCTAAGAGTGGTCAGGACAGCACCAATCAAAGCATTACTGTAGGTAGTATAGGTAGTATCAACTAAAGCAACTTTAGCAGTAGCTGGAATTCCTTTTCTCCTATGGAGTGCAAGGATAAGGCCTACAGCACCAATATGAAGATGGGTATAACCTTGAGCTATTCACTTGTTGATCAAAGGTTGAGGTATATCAATAGTGACATATTGTTCAGAGGAAGAGGCAGGAAGACCACAGTTTTCTAGTTTGGTAGACTGAACAACTTCTTTCACATGAGGTCTTTGGGTGGAGATCAAATTTCTAACATTTCTGATGACACGATTGGTGTGGTGATAAAGGCTGTAAGGGCTGAGAAGAGGTAGATTTGTATCCTGAATTCTAGCATCTTCAAGAAGATAGTCTATCTCAACAAGGTTTTCTATTTTTCTGGAGAGAGTTCTACGAACAGAGGAGAGAAGTCTTTGTGGGGTGAAGGAAGAAGAGAGGTGAACGGGTTCAAGACTGTTTGAGGTTTCACTCATGATAAGATGGTGTCTTCTTACTCACCTTCACTAAGAATATCTCACTTCTGTCAAAAATTGTGCTGGCTCTGATACCACTCGGGGGTGTTAGCTGAACCGGACCAAGCTAACATAGTTTGATATCCAAGGCTTTAGTCCAGGTAAGGCCACTCATTCTTAACTCATCAACGGGCCACATTAGGACTCTCAACTTTGAATACCAAAGCTAGGATAACTGGAAAGATTGTCACTAAACACTCCTTCATGGATTGTGGTCAAATTCTATTTTCTGATGCACAGGATCCTCTTAAAGAGGCAAGTGCAGAGCATACTTAGAATCTCTGACGACAGAAGAAAGATATTATAAGTGAGGCTTTCAGAAGAAGAGAGAAATTTAGAGAGAACTCATGAGGAAAGCACACTAGTATTATACAAAGAAGTCGACACAACTCCTTCTGCCTGTAGCTGATGGCAGAGTGGGGTTTATATAGAGGTTCGGGGCCACTACATGACAAAGTCCTAATAGTACACCTCATTATGATAGGTAGATGTCATTATGGCCTGTCATAATGATACCTAATGATGACGTTTACTTTACTTATTACAAGAGAACGAAATAGACTACAGGACAAACGACTTTAATAAAGTAAAAGTAGATGGCGACATAAAGTAGGAATCTGACGGGTCCCGCCTTATCTTCAAAGTATCCAAAAAGAAGATTTCATGATGATGATGTCCCCTAGTCTTTATAGATAGGCTCATGGCTAGGGGATAGGTTCATGATGCCTTTTGGGTCAGGGTCATCTGAGTCATAATGTCTCCTTGTGCAGTAGTAGTCTTCGAGGTCTGGGTCAGGGTCATCTTGATTAGGATCCTGGGATTCTCCTACAAGGAATGGGAGTTGTGACTGGAAACTTGGCTGAGGGAGATAGAGTCTTTCAGGCTGAGTGAGTTGAATCTGTGAGTCTCTGTCACCGTCATAAGGGTCTTCGGCGGCTTCTGTCTGTGGAGGGACTTGTGACCTATTTGGTGGAGGTCTGACAGCACTCATGATAAAATCTCTCTGGAATTCTTCAAGTGTTGTGTTGCTGGCTGACGGTGAGCTTGGAGGGAAAGGTCCAAGAGAAAGACATGAAGTGTCTTCTCCTGTGTCAGGCTGGTTAAATGCAGTTAATGTCTTCCCAATTTTTTCCATTAATAATGCTTCGTTTCTTGGCCATGAAGGGGTGGTGACTTGAAGGATTAGACAGTTGTCTGTATAAAGCCTCTGGTCAACACTTATACCATAGTTCCTGAAAAAGGTATATAGACAGAAAAATCGCTTTTGTTTGGGAGTTGGTAAGTCCCAAATATTATGTTCCTTGAGAACTTTCCAAAGTTTTCCTCTCCAGTAGGAAAGAGGAGCAAGCATCTCAAAGAGTATGATAAGAGGAGAGTTTTCATTTCTGAAGTCATTCAGGTGATCATGGACAACTACAGCTGAGAAGGCTATGGCACAGGTATAATTGGCTGAGACAGACCAGATGTACCATAAAAGTTCCTCTGGTATGGGTCCTTTAATGATGGGAACAGTGAGGTATGGGGCATCAGCATCAAAGTGTTGAGGGTAAGGGTGGATTCCGGTATCTACAAGAACACGGTGGAGCCAGTAGAACATAGTGCTTCTGGCAAGGTTTTGGACATCTACTAGAGATTTAGGCGGGATCCAGGAGCGAAAATGGTGGCTCTCATTCTGTGAGGCATTTCTGGTTCAGAGATAGTTAGGATGAAGAGGGATTGATGTTTGGAGAGTGACAGGAGTTTTGGAGGGTGGGAAATTTTTTGAGGTCTTGTGAGGAAATTTGCTATGATGTTCTGGTGGCCTTTCAGATGATGGACGGTGAATTTATAGCGGGAGAACCAGTCTTTCCATCGGAGTAACTGGCTGTCTAGCAAAGTCTTTCCCTTAGGATTAAACATTCTGGGAAAAGAT